AGACTGGCGGATTGAGGTCTCAAAGAATAGCTGGACTACCGATGAGATTGGCCTACGCTGGCTAGAAAAGCACTTTATCCCACACACGAATTCGCGCGTACGAGGCCGGTTTCGGCTATTAATTCTTGACGGCCATGGTAGCCATCTTACGCCCCAATTCGACCGAATCTGCGCAGAAAACGATATTATACCTCTTTGTATGCCTGCGCATTCATCGCATCTACTACAGCCACTAGATGTTGGGTGTTTTGCAGTGGTTAAGCGCGCGTACGGTCGCTTCGTTAGCGATCTTGCGCGTAGAGGATATAACCATATCGATAAGCACGATTTCTTAGTGGATTACCAACACGCACGGCTAGAAGCCTTCCAATCAGCCAATCCCACTATCGAGAATAGCTTCGTAGCTAGTGGTCTAGTACCATTGGATGCCGAGAGAGTGCTTAACAAGCTTAATATCTCTCTACGAACACCAACACCACTAAGCAGCAGACCAAGCAGCAGATCTAGCCAATTCACACCACAAACGCCTAGAACCGCTGCTCAGCTATTCAAGCAAGCTTCTATGTTAAAAGATCTACTAAAACGGCGGTCAAATAGCCCTCCGAGCCCATCAAAAGAGATCCTAGACCAGATGATCAAGGGGTTCCAGCTAGCGCTACATAGCGGTGCTTTACTAGCAGAGGATAATACGAATCTGCGTATAGCGAGTGAGAAGATGGTCAAAAAGCGCAATCGGTCAACTAGGAGGATACCCTGCGCAGAGGGTTTAACTATTGAAGAGGCTATACAGCTAGCTGAGCAGCTAAACCAGCCAGAGGAAGATGGTGGGGTAGATTCGCATACAGAGGTCGAATTGCCTAGTCAGCCAACTAGGCCAGCAGCTAGGGCTCCGCCTAGGTGTAGTGGGTGCAGGGAGATTGGTCACAGGATTAATGTATGTAAAAATCGCTATATCTAGTTAAATCAATAGGAGTTGGTTGAGATAATCGATTTTGAAGTAGTGTAATGGGGTGAGGTGTTCGGAACGGGCGGGTGTTCGGGACGGGCGGGAATTACGTTAGTCATAATTTCAAAAACAAAAAAAAAAAAAAAGGAATCGACGAGCGGCCCATCTCCTTAGTATCCACTAAGAGTAGGGCTGAACGTGAAGCGGTGACCTAATAGAGTAGTTGAATGTTATCCTGATATTATTGGTATATTAATTGCCGCTTTCTGCGTCGCGCTAACCGTCCTTGAGGACTAGTAGGTTGTCACGGGCTAGTGCCCGATATCGGCCACGTGTATCACGATAACTTGGCATGTTGACGTGGAGAGCGCGCGGGATAAACTTCCCCTCCTTGAGCTTTTTGTAAGCAGCATGTTGGCCTGTTTAGATTGAATTAAGTCCTGCTTCAGCCTATCACATACAAAAAGCTTCCTTCTACACCTATAAGTATCGGTGGTGATTAGAAAATCCTAGGAAAACGACCTAGGAACATATTGGACATACGCTATTACGCGTAGCCGACTGGTTACTGAGAGTTAGAGAGTTAGAAGGTCCACGGGTTATACTTGCCTAGTTCTAATTGCGGATTCCAAGAGTATCTCTTAATCGTACCGATGCCTCGTAAGGCCTTACTGCTGAGTGGATCCTGTTGAGTGCCTTGTAGAACATGCTAGAAGTGCGCGCTAAGTAAGTCACATCACGAAGTGTTACCACTAAGTGAATCCCCTACTTATAGGTTGGGTTGTCTTGAAGGTGAACTGTGAAGTGTAAAGCTAAAGGTAGTAATCAAGTGACAATGTGAGAATAATCGTGAATAGCAAAATGTATGGTGCGAAATGAGTGTTCTTATATCTAGTCCCCCGTGGTCGTGGTCTACAATTGGGAATATTAGATGGTATACTGGACTGGTGTTCCCGTAGTCCGTGCGGTATACCTAACTGTATACTCTGAGGTCACGTGAAGATTCATAGGGGCCTAATATTCTGTGCGTAATCTTGGTATACGTAGGAAGGCGGCTATTTCCTGCGTTGCGCTAACCGTCCCGTTATATATAGAGTATTTGTTGTGACGGTTAGTCGTAGGCCGTTTCTGGCTCCTATTCCGAATGTCTGCCTTAGGGTACCCTAGGGTATGCCTAAGTATACGGAAACGTACGTGATAACCCTAGTCCTTAGCGTCCGTGAAATGATTAGCTCACGGCTCGGGTATAGCCTACCCGCTGGCCCTAGCCTTGGTATCCCCCATTAAAAAAAATCCCAGCCAAAAGACCCCCCTTAGGGTAAGGCCCTTCTACGTGATAATCCTAAAGTATTATATGATATTTAGATAGAACTGGCTATCGGGTGAAAATATCTAAAAGATCTGTTTAAAAAATATTAAGATATCGGGTACTTAGGGGGGTTATCGTATAAACCTAATACCCCCCGTTAAGACTTTCTTAACTATTAGTCCCCCCCCCCCCCTCCTCCTCCCCGGTACACGAGTATAGGGAAGAATAAGACCTCGAAAGTAGATAGTGTGCGATGTGTCGTTACTCGCCGAGCTAAATCATTTTAGCCGGTAGGGTTCAGATCAAACACGGTACGCAGAGGTGAAGGTTATCTTAATATAACGTTTTTAAATTACAGATCAGAGCGAGGGAAACTATCTAGCTTAGGGACTTCGGGCCGTTTACGTTTGTTTCTATTGCTCTTTGATTAGATTAGAATACGTTAATGTACTATATATGTCTTCCTTCTTATTGCTGACCTATAGATATAATTCGATGCACTAGGAATATAAAGAATTGTAAATGATTTAATAAATGAGATTCACACTAAATAGAATAAAGGGAGAGCTACCCTGTACTATACAGTATAGTACGTTACGAAACCGGTGTAACCGCCTCTACTCTACGAGTGGCTCTCTAGGCCCACCGCCAGGAGACACTAGAATTTGTGAGGTATAGCCCGGAATATTAGTATTCCTTTATCTTCTCGATACTATCATTTACTTCTATTAAATACGGTTCCTTGTCTTGTAACTAACTGTGTTGCGACCTAACGGAAGTAGAATTTTCCATGAAAATGCAAACATGTCAAATATTGGGTCTGGGGATTGCGTCGAGAACCTAGCAACCTAACACTTCCCTCTGCTACTCTTATGTCTAAGCGACGGGCTTGGGGTCGTACTCAGCACTAGATCTTGTAAAATAGTGACTGTCATTACTTGCGTACTCTATCTACAGACTACTTAGGACCCTGCTTATCATAATATTCAGCCTGTTAGCCACTGTCCTCTCTTCTTGGCGCCCTGTAACAAACTTGGTTGAAGCTAACATACCACCATGTTAATAGACTCCTCAGTGGCAATATCTGCCTGAATGGGGGGGGGGTTGACTTACACTCCTTTCAACGATGATGACGATGATGAATGATCTTACCGGTACATTCTGTATGTATGTGTTGGTTTCCTAAGGGAGAAGGTGTACGTAGACCACGGCAGGAATCGCGACTCTCCAGGTTCGATTCGACTCGGAACCGCCAAGACTCAGGTTCCGGTTCCAGGTTTTCGGAACCGCGATTCGACTCCGAGATTTTTGGAGTCGAACCTCAGGTTTCATAAACGGTGCAAACAGAGAGAAACCCGTGATATACATAATTTGTGCAGTTTTGCCTGTATTTTTCGAGTATTCTGCTGACGTATCTAGTCAAAGATAGGATATACTAGCCAGAAGTAAAGAAAATCAGAGAATTAGTTAAAGAGGTTTTAGATTCGGTTTCTAACAGTTCTATAGCTTTTGATATATAAAGAGGTCTTCGTCTCGTCTTACACGCTTTGAAACCCTCCCAGATGTACGCCTATAAGTACTACTCTCTCCTAGTAGGCCACTATTATCAGGAAGAGGGATACTATTCCCATCATCCTCATCATCCTCGTAATCTAGTTAAATAAGTGTCCCGGGATTAGTAAGAGACGGCGTTACTTCCTTCCTTAGCCTTTTACTAAGGGCACGCTCGCTAGGTCGCTATAGATCCTAAGATCTCGTATCTTAAAGATCATCTTCGCCGTCACTAATAAGATCAAATTCGTCCTTCTCCTTCTGAGCATCCTTCTCTTCTCTTACTACATAAATCTCTTAAGTAGAGAGATACTCTTTAATTAAGGTCAATTACTCTAACTCAACATCAAACCGTGTTATACACATTAACATCATTAGGTCCTTAATTGTTTTTAGCTTTAACGAGCCTCGGCGGTAGTAACAGATATCACGAGCAGAATTAAATAGCCGTTCAACACCAGAACTAGTTATAGGGGTAGAAAGAATATCCCGAGCTAGGCTTACGAGTATCGGAAATTCATCCTAGTGATCTTTCCAGAACATACGCGGATTAACTAAGCGAGTACCTATTAGAAAGCTTAGTATCTAAGAGTTAAGAAATAGAACGCCTACTTACCACTTCCAAGATAACGTCTTAGCTCGCCATAAGCATTCGTTTAGGACTAAGTAACCTTAGCCTTTAAGATAAGCATCTCTAAGTCTGAGACCTACGCTACTAAGGATATACCATAAGAGCTTAGCCGTTTATCCGAATATCGTTTCTCATACGGGATAAGGTACTTTTCGAGGCTCTTACGGTATCGGGCATGCTACTTAGGCTCCCATTCGGATATTTAGAAGAATTCAAGCTTATTCTAAGGTGCCATAATAGTACCAATTACATAGAGATCGTCGCTAATTATATCAGTTACGCTATAGTATTCTGAGAGCTTATCCTTCGTATATAAGAGCGCTTTAAGTATCACAGTCTTCCAGTTAACCTTCTTTCGCGTAAGCTATACCTTCGACTTCTCTATATAGTTAAAGAGGGCGTTATAGATACCGAAGATAGTATAGATAGTGATATCCTTACTCTTTAATACCATATTAGTAAAGATAAAGAATAGCTAAGTAATCGAAAGAAGATAGTCAACCTAGCGCCATTCCTCCTAGCTAAGCTAAATATAGAGCTAGTTATACTCCCGGCAAAACTCGTCAAAGGTTGACTATAGCCGTTTCGCACGCCGAAGCATCAGAAACGTTAAGTTCTAGCGAGTTCGGACGTCTTATATTAGCACGAGCTTCGGCTCTTTCGTCTAGAGCTCTAGGAAACGCTCGCGGCGCTAAGGGCTTTTGTTAATATAGACGGCTAGCTTTCGAATCTAGTACACTTTTAGTGGGGTAGTAATAGGGGTAATATTAGAGGGAGTATCTTACCTTATTTAATATATAGATAATTTCTTGATTCTCCTACTAAGAGCTATCCGTCTCCCTAGTGAATTCTATCTCTTCTCTATCATTCTTTAGATTAGCTTCTATCTAACTAAGAAGCTCCTTTAGACTAAGTTAAATAATATATGCGATACATAGTATACGGAGAATTAGTGTCTAGTTTAGTAGCTTAAGCGCCTAGAGAGAATCCTAGATACTCTCTAGTAGGGTAGAGTTATTTAAAGCGTTATCAGTGGTAACGGTTAACACCCTATCTTTAATATGATGCTTTTAAAGTAGTTAAAAGAGAACTATACCAAGATTACTACTAGTATATACCCCGTGAAGTAGCTCAAAGCTAAGTAAGATCTCGCGGTAGTTCCAGTCCTGGTCGATGAAATAGCCGGTAACAGCCATAAAGGCCTAGCGAAAGGGTAAGGTCTAGCAATCTAATACGATAGAGAGCTTACTATCTATAGGGAGCTTCTAAAGAAGGTTATGCTATCGTTCCTCCACTAACTCATAAAGCCGGCGGCGGATAGTATACGAGGAGGGGATTTCTGGTATAGATAGGGCGAGCCGGATCATTTTAACTAGAGCGCGAAATTAAGGGTGTTTAACGAGTTAAAACAGTAGCTATAGGCTAGCTAGAAATATTATTAACCTCTCAAGCCAGTCTTAATAGCTAAAGAGTATTTTTTGCGATACTGATGGTGCCTAAGATAAAGATATTTTAGCATAAATTTGAATAATCAGATAAACTGTTTTATATACCCCATTTTAGATAAGCCTTCGAATATCCTTTAACTTCGGCGCTATCTTCCGACAGACACCTTGCGAGTAGTGTTTATTCATAGAAGATGTTCCACGATAGCCGTCCGCTAGATGATTCAAAGTATGATCGCACGTTTTACACATAACCTTTGGCGCGCCATCTCGAATAGTAGCAACCTAGTGAAAATGCTACTAACATTCTGCCTAGCGCTTACTCTCGAAGATATTCCGGTTCATCCGGCTACCAAACTCTGTCTTTAACCACTATATAACGAACTCATCATTCACCATCTCTGTCCAAAGGACGAAGTCCTTCTTTCTCGGTTGACTAACGCGCTATAGAGTATCCGGGGGGTGAGGCATAAGCAGTTACCGAGAGAAATTGAAATTAGGTGTAGAAGTAGTGGTCTGGCCGTATAAAGCATCAGGATTGAATGACTAAGCGCTATCCGATGGAAGGAACGGAATGTTATCTAGAGGAGTATCGCTAAAGATTGATGAAGGGTAGTTATCGGAAAATTGAGAGACCTGACTCTGTGACATAGTGAATGATTGAACGGAGGTAATAAAGAGTCTAGTTTAGGAAGAGTCTTACAAGAAGCCTTCTGAGTGCTAACGAAGGTAATTAGGAGAATCCAAGGAGATATAGCGGTCTACGCGAGCTGAATGAGGGCATGGATACGTCTATTTGAATATCGACTAGCCTATATACCGCTACGCTTAACGATTGGCTACTAAAACCTACACCGCCAGGTTCTGTCAGGTTCGAACCTGACGGAACCTGCATTTGAACCTGGCGTACCCTGACAGAACCTCAGTTCGAACCTGATAGAACCTGAATTTGAACCGGTCTAAACCCAGAACCTACCCCTGAGACTTCTGAAGGCCGATTTTGCCTAAGGATACTAGCTAAAGTATGTAGTCATGTCGCTTTGAATAGGAAACTAGAGGAGATTAGTATTAAAAATTCAGCTTTAAAAATCCAGAGTGGTTTTTATGACTTACGATTGTTACTTAAGCTTAGAATTAGCTAGCTCTCTTAACGTACCGCGCATAAGAATTCCTTAAAGGAAATCTCTATAAGGATACTATCATACTAAGGTAGTACTCCCTGTAAAATATATATTTCCTACTCTATACACCATATCAACTACGACATCTAGTCCACCTAGTCACTGAGAGCCTAAGTAAGACTCAATCAAAGACTAGATATATGATTTGATACTAAAGAATCGGTATACGAGAATATTTCGTATAATTTCATAGCTAAAGTAGCTGTTTTATAAGATTATTAGATATGGTAACCAGAACGGAGGTAAATAACAGTAAAGAAAAGAGATGAATCAGCAATTTATCCATCCGAAATAGGAAATGGCTTGGCAGAATTATGCAAATCCGGTTCCGTCAGGTTCGAACCTGAGTCGAACCTGATAGAGTCGCGATCCGACTCAGGTTCTAAAAGTTGGAACCTAAGAACCTCAGGTTCAGGTTCGAGGTTCCGATCTTTAGAACCTAAGTCGGACCATGCCGAGGTCTAGGTGTACGGCCCACTAAGGTTGTATCATGTTTACCTAATAATCCTCAGCTTACTAGCAATTCATTATCCAGTCCGAGATCTTGACAGATTTTTTCTGACGTGAGCGGCTGGTTCTTCGTCCGTTATACATTTGTTTTCATAAGGCGGGCGTTATTTAAAATAACTGCCCCAAAGCACTGTTTACATTTAGGAGTTCCTTATCATTCAACTTTAGCAAGAGAAATAGCTGAGGAAGAGAAGGCAGCAACAGCATCGCCCACGGGTAAGGCCACACCGGCCTAACCCTTAACATCAGAAAAAGTGGCCGAATCAATGAGTACAGAATCAAACCCACCGGCGCTGAAAACAGCGACACGTCCACCTATCCTCTGCCTAGGCATAGCTCGAACCGGCACCGTATCTCTAGCCGAATCACTACGTATCCTGGGCATCCCTAACGTGCACCACGGGATCCAAGTAATAGAACCCGAATTCCATAAGTAATGGAATATCTTTGATCGTGCTCCTGACGTAAGCTTCCCCGTATTACTAATATACACGGGTAAACTATTTACACGAGCTAAATGGGACGTGGCCTTTGGAGAGTACGGCACCGTGACTGATATCGCCTCCTTCTACGCTATGCTATTACTCCACGTATACCCAGACTCCCAAGTTATCCTCGTCGAACGCGATATCGATACCTCGCTTAAGAGTGTGGAATAATTATTCAAACCATGGCAGAGTAAGTCGTAAATCCGAATGATTCACTGGATTGAGTTATTCATCGGAAGCCTTAAGGGGACGGTGAGCTTGAAGTTTAAGCTTAGATAGACGGAATCGAAACGGCTAAAGGATATTTTCGTGAATACTCGTGCCGCCTACGAAAGAGATTATAGGGAAATCCGCGCGACTATCCCGCCGGAACAATTGCTAGATTTTTAGTTAAAGGAAGGTTAGGAGCCTCTTTATCGATTCTTAGGAAAGGATGTACTAGATGTCCCATTTCCACATATTAATAATACGGCTAAGTATGCTAGGCATATTAAGAAGTCGAGGAATAATGCTTTAAAGAGGCTAGCGAAGAAACTGTTCCTGCTATGCTTCTAGTAGCGTCATTAATTAAAACCCTGTCGGCCGCTATCCTAAGAACGTACCGAGGTCTTAATATACTCTAAACTTAGAAGATTCTGTTCTACTTATATCTCTCACCTTTCCCGTAATTATCTATTCTAAGCGGATGCCTAGTTCTAGACTATATACCTAGAAGATCTTTAGATATAGTATTATAGATATAGCCTAAAAAATACATAATTATGCGGCTAAATTTTGTACCCCGAAGTTCTCTAGAGAGCGTAAGTACTTCTCGGGGAAGGATAAAGGACGGAATATCAGGAATAATCAAGCTTAGTAAAGTAATAGGCTTAGTAGGTACGCGAGCGAAATTAGTATATTACGGGCTAAACTAAGCTATATCGTTAGTAGCTTCGGTAGCTCTAGCGGACTGTCGCCGCTACTGATGCTACTATTAAGTCGTGGAGCTTCGCGCCTCCGCTCCTCGGATAGATATCACGAGGCATTCGGCTTTTAGGGGGTTAGGAGCTTAATAATATAAACCAGTAGGATATAATCCACTAGCTAGCCACTTACTAGAGATCGCATTAATCTACTATCTATTAGAAAACATATACGTTATCAGCCTCAAGATATTTACCCAAGATACGTCCTACTATAGTAGCAACGCTCGTCGCTTTACTTTCCACTTCTTTCGGCTAGGATATCTGGACTGACCTTTAGGCTAATTTACTTAGTAATACGCCGTTTTCCTATATACTTACTGTTTTATGCGCGGATCTAGCGTTCGAATCACTCTTGCTTCCGCCGGAGGAAGCGCCTACATAACCATTACGCCACTAGTTAGGCTACAATAGGTTAATAGAGTATTGATTGATTGATTGATTGATTCAGCTAGGATATTACCAACGGTTCACCGAGTTAATAAGCCGCCTTAACTTACAAAGGCGCGCATATTAGGAACATAGCTCGCTCAAAGTACATAGACATTAGCTAATCAGAACAATAAGGCTGAATATTTATACCTCTCGGAAGGCCCACCTACGGGCTCTCAATCCTCAACCCTAGCCGGCTACTTCCGCTTATTTAGATTGAGCGACAAGAACTTATAAAAGACAATACCCCCCACTATATAGCAACGACCACTTTCATAGGCGTTCCTCCTCGCGGCTTAGCGGACAGTGCCGTCTCTTAGAGGACAGTGCCGTCTCTTAGAAAGCAAGGTCTCCTATTAGCAAATCTAAGTTCGTGAACGGAGCCCTAGGCGTCTTTCGTGGTTCGAGCGATGTACACTCTAGGTTAAAATACCGAACGGTCAGCAAGAGCACAATACGAAGCTAATTAATTGCTAGATCGCGGCCGAGACATACCCGGGCTCCATACTTAAAGGGCCTCTAAGTATCTCGAGGGATCTTATTCGGCTCTATGAACCTCTCTAGATCGAAAGACGAGGGTTACAGGAAGACCTCAGGATCGTAGTGAATTATATGTGTGTAGGGAATGATAAGTTAGTCCGAGGTTAGGTAGGATCTTCTATTATACTCGAGTGTATTAATTCTATAGGGTAATCGCTTATTAGTAATTACTTGAATCCCGCGTTAAGAGCAGAGACAAGGGTGAGTACCTCGGGAAGGATTTATCTAGGTATAGCTTTTCGAGCACCAAAACCGACTAGGAAGAGACGAAGAGTTTCCTTTATTATTACAGTCGTATATAATAGCTCGTTTATTTTATATAGTGTGGTTCGTAGAATGTCTTACGTGTTAGCTAGATTCGCATTAAAAACTTGACTGTGCTCCTGTCGGACCCTTACCATCACATTTAGATATAAAGAGAGCATAATAAACACAAATTTGGGTATAGAGTTAGCCGGGTCTAAAGGGAGGGAGGAATAATAATCTTATAGCATATTTATACGCAAAGTGTGTTAGTTAATATTCCGTAGCCGCTAAAGAGAAGGGCTTTAACACTGGAGGACTATGTTAGCCGAATTAATAGAATAAAGATCGCGTACGTTATTTAATTTCTTGGTCTCCTTTAGTAGGACTCACTTATCGAGGAGAACTTTAAAGAGTCTACGTTTAGTTCTCTATGATTTTTAGAATTCATCTTAGAAAGTATATTATCGAAGATACTTATTTCTTTAAGGCTATCTAAATTCGTATCACCATAAGCCAAATAACGATACTCAACGAATAATCGCAAAAGCCTATCTAATCTTTAAGCTACTTTCCTCTTCCTCTACCATTTAAGATACTTCTTCACCGGGTTTATACCTCCTATTATTGATATTAACTACGCATAATCTAGAATCTAATCGATATTATAAAGTAGCTTACTATTTTTCTATTTTGATAAGGACCCACCTAATACAATTTTGCTAATAATACTAAATATAAGCTCTACCGCTATCTTCTCCATTAAAAAGACCTCCCCGCTAGATGAATAGGCTATTAGAGCTAGATAGAAAAGTTCTGTTATCTTTTCCGTAATAATAGGCATTAGTGGCCTAATAGATAAGAGCCGTAACCCCGGGGAAATTATGCGATATAAACTTTTCTATATATCTCCGTCGGTCGCTAAGATAGCCCTTTTACCTATTAGCGGGCCGATAAACTAGATAGCTACGTTATAGAGCGGATAATTCTTTATAGCCGTAACCTAATCTACGGCGCTAGGGGTAATAAGGACCATTTACGAAGGGCTAAATAGCTATAGGTCCAGATAGAAGACATCACGAAGCTTATACTTCTACGCGATTATTATATAGAATACGTAGAGCGCGGTATTAGGCGGAAATAGTTTTATCACCTCGCCGAACAGTTTTAGGTGGCCCCAGAAAAGGCTATAAGAAGGTATAGGCTTACGACGTGTTAGTAATATGAAATAATATAAGTAGTACTACGTCCTAAAGCAGATCTTTATAGAGTCTACGATACCGAATGAGCTAGAT